ACTAGAACTGAACTAGAACTGAACTAGAACTGAACTAGAACTGAACTAGAACTGATCTAGAACTGAACTAGAACTGAACTAGATCTGAACTAGAACTGAACTAGAACTGAACTAGAACTGAACTAGAACTGAACTAGAACTGAACTAGAACTGAACTAGAACTGAACTAGAACTGAACTAGAACTGAACTAGAACTAGAACTGAACTAGAACTGAACTAGAACTAGAACTGAACTAGAACTGAACTAGAACTGAACTAGAACTGAACTAGAACTGAACTAGAACTGAACTAGAACTGAACTAGAACTGATCTAGAACTGAACTAGAACTGAACTAGATCTGAACTAGAACTGAACTAGAACTGAACTAGAACTGAACTAGAACTGAACTAGAACTGAACTAGAACTGATCTAGAACTGAACTAGAACTGAACTAGATCTGAACTAGAACTGAACTAGAACTGAACTAGAACTGAACTAGAACTGAACTAGAACTGAACTAGAACTGAACTAGAACTGAACTAGAACTGAACTAGAACTGAACTAGAACTGAACTAGAACTGAACTAGAACTGAACTAGAACTAGAACTGAACTAGAATTGAAATAGAACTGAACTAGAATTGAACTAGAATTGAAATAGAACTAAACTAGAACTGAACTAGAACTGAACTAGAACTTAACTAGAAATGAACTAGAACAGAACTAGAACTGAACTAGAACTGAACTAGAACTGAACTAGAACTGAACTAGAACTGAACTAGAACTGAACTAGAACTGAACTAGAACTGAACTAGAACTGAACTAGAACTGAACTAGAACTGAACTAGAACAGAACTAGAACTGCACTAGAACTGAACTAGAATTGAACTAGAATTGAACTAGAACTGAACTAGAACTGAACTAGAACTGAACTAGAACTGAACTAGAACTGAACTAGAACTGAACTAGAACTGAACTAGAACTGAACTAGAACTGAACTAGAACTGAACTAAAACTGAACTAGAACTGAACTAGAACTGAACTAGAACTAGAACTGAACTAGAACTGAACTAGAACTGAACTAGAACTGAACTAGAACTGAACTAGAACTGAACTAGAACTGAACTGAACTAGAACTGAACTAGAACTGAACTAGAACTAAACTAGAACTGAACTAGAACTGAACTAGAACTGAACTAGAATTGAACTAGAACTGAACTAGAACTGAACTAAAACTGAACTAGAACTGATCTAGAACTGAACTAGAACTGAACTAGAACTGAATTAGAACTGAACTAGAACTGAACTAGAACTGAACTAGAACTGAACTAGAACTGAACTAGAACTGAACTAGAACTGAACTAGAACTGAACTGGGACTGAACTAGAACTGAACTAGAAAAGAACTAGAAATGAACTAGAACTGAACTAGAACTGAACTAGAACTGAACTAGAACTGAACTAGAACTGAACTAGAACTGAACTAGAACTGAACTAGAACTGAACTAGAACTGAACTAGAACTGAACTAGAACTGAACTAGAACTGAACTAGAACTGAACTAGAACTGAACTAGAACTGAACTAGAACTAAACTAGAACTGAACTAGAACTGAACTAGAACTGAACTAGAACTGAAATAGTACTGAACTAGAACTGAACTAGAACTGAACTAGAACTGAATTAGAACTGAACTAGAACTGAACTAGAACTGAATTAGAACTGAACTAGAACTGAACTAGAACTGATCAAGAACAGAACTAGAACTGCACTAGAACTGAACTAGAATTGAACTAGAACTGAACTAGAACTGATCAAGAACTGAACTACAACTGTACAAGAACTTAACTAGACTATAACTAGAACTGAACTAAAACTGAACCCTAGTCCATTGACTGGAGTTTAAATGTCTTCTATAAATATACAAAAATAGTAACCACCTGATATGTACATACTAGGTATATAAAAATAAAATTGATTGATATTCAAGTTTTATAGGGAATAAAAGCACACGACAAGTTTTATTAGGATCTACCACCTCTAACATTCGCTGGCTATAACTACAAATTAATATAAATTATTCAAAATAAAACACTCACCGTTAAAACACCTTCAATATTTCATCCTTTTTCGTATTCCTGCCGATTTTTATTATTTGAACACTAGACAACTCTACTAAATATTAACAGCACTCAATGCAGTAGTAACAAACATAAACAGAAACACTTGTTGCATTTGTTTTTGTAAACAAACCGCCAAAAAATACTTCATGAATGAATTGGAATTGACAATTTTCTTCTTGCTCTGCTTTTACTATAAAGATTTTGCTCTTCTTTTCCCATTTTTGCATAATGCAAACATACAAACACTTGTACAAGAGGCTTTTGCCTAAAAAATAATAAAAGCAACAACTACAATAACGCATAAACACCGCTAACTACAAAAACAATTGCATATTTTACTTTGTGATTTTTTTCTTCTTAATTTTTCTTGATTTATTTTACTCAAAACTACATTTTAACAAACTTTTATTAACTTTTCTGTAAAATTTTCATAAATAACTTTATAACGATTATTATTTTATAGATTTTGTAGTAATTGAAAGACTTTTACTAAAGTTAATTATGAATTAAATGCGGACAACAGATTACTACGACTGATTTTAGTGGCGACAGCGAAAGAACTAAAATAATAATGCAGAAGGGTTGCCAATGCTAAAGGGTATTTAGTTTTTAAAGGATTCTATTGTTAATCAGGGTATTTGTTTTGTAGGATGGTAGGTATGTAAAGTTTTATTAAAACGTTAAAGTTTTAGCTTTTGAATTAGAATTTAACTAGAACTGAACTAGAACTTAAGCTGAACTGAACTAGAATTGAACTAAATTTCCCTCTTCCCCCTGTGGATCCACGCCTGGCTGGGTATATGTATTAATATATGTATGCAAATTATTCAAAATAAAACACTCACCGTTAAAACACCTTTTATATTTCTTCCTTTTTTCGTATTCCTGTCGATTTACATTATTTAAACAATAGACAACTCTATTAAATATTAACACCACTCACTCACTGCATTAACAAACATAAACAAAAACACTTGTTGCATTTGTTTTTGTAAACAAACCCCCAAAATTTACTTCATGAATGAATTGGAATTGACACTTTTTTTGCTCTGCTTTTACTAGGTATGAAGATTTTACTCATTTCTCATGATTTTTTTTGCCAATAACAACACATTCCCATATGCAAACACATAAACACTTGTATAAGAGGCTTTTGGGAAGAAAATAATAGCAACAACAATAATAACACATAACACCGCTAATTACAAAAACAATTGCATATTTTACTTTGTGATTTTTTTTCTTCTTAATTTTTTTTTTTGATTTATTTTATTCAAAACTACATTTTAACACACTTTTATTAACTTTTTTTAACATTTTCATAAATAACTTTATAACGATTATTATTTTATAGATTTTGTAATAATTAAAACACTTTTACTAAATTTAATTATGCATTAAATGCGCACAACAGACTACTACGACTGATTTTAGTGGCGACCGCGAAAGAACTAAAATATTAATGCAGAAGGGTTGCCAATGCAAAAGGAGAGTAATATTTTAAAGGGTTCTCTTGTAAAGTTTTATTAAAACGTTAAAGTTTAGAATTTAATTAGAACTAAAGCCGAACTGAACTAGAACTGAACTGATTTAGAACTAAACTAGAACTGAACTAGAACTGAACTAGAACTGAACTAGAACTGATTTAGAACTAAACTAGAACTGAACTATAACTGAACTAGAACTGAACTAGAACTGAACTAGAACTGAACTAGAACTGAACTAGAACTGAACTAGAACTGAACTAGAACTGAACTAGAACTGAACTAGAACTGCACTAGAACTGAACTAGAACAGAACTAGAACTGCACTAGAACTGAACTAGAATTGAACTAGAACTGAACTAGAACTGAACTAGAATTGAACTATAACTGAAATAGAACTGCAATAGAAGTGAACTAGAGTTGAACTAGAACTGAAATAGAACAGAACTAGAACTGAACTAGAACTGAACTAGAACTGAACTAAAACTGAACTAAAACTGAACTAGAACTGAACTAGAAATGAACTAGAATTGAACTAGAACTGAACTAGAACTGAACTAGAACTGAACTAGAACTGAACTAGAACTGAACTAGAATTGAACTAGAATTGAACTAGAACTGAACTAGAACTGAACTAGAACTGAACTAGAACTGAACCAGAACTGAACTAGAACTGAACTAGAACTGAACTAGAACTGAACTAGAACTGAACTAGAACTGAACTAGAACTGAACTAGAACTGAACTAGAACTGAACTAGAACTGAACTAGAACTGAACTAGAACTGAACTAGAACTGAACTAGAACTGAACCAGAACTGAACTAGAACTGAACTAGAACTGAACTAGAACTGAACTAGAACTGAACTAGAACTGAACTAGAACTGAACTAGAACTGAACTAGAATTGAAATAGAACTGAAATAGAACTGAAATAGAAATTAAATAGAAGTGAACTAGAATTGAACTAGAACTGAATTGGAACTGAACTAGAACTGAACTAGAACTAAACCGGAACTGAACTAAGACTGAACTAGAACTTTAACTAGAAATGAACTGAACTAGATCTTTACTTGAACTGAACTAGAACTTAACTAGAACCGAACTGGAACTGAACCAGAACTGAAATAGCTTTGAATTAGAACTGAACTTGGACTAAACTAGAAATTAGCGTATAATCTCGACATGAGATCAGTCTTGTCTTTCTACTATAGATTAGAATGGATTACAGATTATTCTATAAATTGGATTATAGTTTATTCTATAGACCGGTTAATTATCTCGACTATTGATTATTCCATAGACCCATACCTATATGTATTAGTTTATAGTTTTGTCTATAGTCCAGGCTGTAGATTAGTTTATAGTATCTACTACTATTATAATAATTATGAAGTATGTTTCCAAATAAAAAGTATATATTTTCTTTAAAATATGTTCTAATAATTTATTACCTATAAATATTATAAATTTACAATTTACATTTGTCCACTACTTAACAAATACTGTTTAAATATCTTTTTCTTTAAAATACAAACATTCTGGGGAACACGAGGGTTTATTTATAAAAAAAAAAACTTTATGTGACTCGATTTTTAGCACTCTTTAAAATATGTTTTTCAAAATCTTTAAATAAATCTAAATATTTATATAATAAAATATACAACAACTAATTAAACCAAAATAAAATTTATCAAACAACGATAAAGCTTAAAATTAAATAAATTAATAATAACAATTTGTCTATAATTAAACTTAAATAAAATATAATATAAACTAAGTCCAAACGGAGGTGGGTATTAGACCCTCCTTACTGGTACCAGGTGGGGTAAGAACTTCCTTGTTAAGGAATTCCAAAGGTAAATCAACTAAATTACCCTGGAAAACGAAAAAAAACGTTTTTATTTTATTAAAAAACTAACAAATAAATAGCATTACCTGTATATTCATTAAACGTTTACTGGCAATATCTGGATCGGTTTTCAATAAAGGCGGTTCTTCTTCTTGATATTTTCTTAAATTGGCAAAAGATTTCACTTTATCATTTGGTATACATTTAAAAACTTCATCGTAAATTTCGGTATTACGTGTGGAAATACGTTTCCACATGCCATTCCAGAATTGATCTACCACAGGATCGATTATATCGATAGGCATACGTTCAGCATCGGGATCGAGTAAACCTAGATAACGAAAAATATTCTATTACGATACTTGTTTATCATTTCAACGGAAAAGAACTCACCTAAATGCTCTTTGAATAAAAATTTTCTCAATCTTCCGGCAAAAACACCACTGGGATACTTTTTACCATTCATACGTCCATCTTCAAATTCATTGTCTGTTATAATGGCGGCAATTTCTGAATCCCGTTTGCCTATCATTGAGCGATCATTGATATTGGCTGAACCACAAATGACAACACGATCATCGGCTATAAGAAGTTTGGAATGTACATAGATTAATTCGGTAATAGGAACATTATTTAATTGGGAATGTGTACGCAATGCGTGGAATGATATGTATTCTCCTGGATTTTCAATGCCGACTTCTTTCAGTCGCACTAAAATAGCTGAGCGGCCTCTGTAAAAAGTGAAAAGGAAGAGAAATGTAATTAAATACAGGGATTAAATGCTTAAACTACAACTGAACTAAACTGAACAAGAACTAAAACTGAAATAGAACTAAACAACAACTGAACTAGAACTTAACTAGAAATGAACTAGAACAGAACAAGAACTAGAACAGTACAAGAACTAGAACTGAACTAGAACTGAACTAGAACTGAACTAGAACTGAACTAGAACTGAACTAGAACTGAACTAGAACTGAACTAGAACTGAACTAGAACTGAACTAGAACTGAACTAGAACTGAACTAGAACTGAACTAGAACTGAACTAGAACTGAACTAGAACTGAACTAGAACTGAACTAGAACTGAACTAGAACTGAACTAGAACTGAACTAGAACTGAACTAGAACTGAACTAGAACTGAACTAGAACTGAACTAGAAGTGAACTAGAACTGAACTAGAACTAGAACTGAACTAGAACTGAACTAGAACTGAACTAGAACTAGAACTAGAACTGAACTAGAACTGAACTAGAACTGAACTAGAACTGAACTAGAACTGAACTAGAACTGAACTAGAACTGAACTAGAACTGAACTAGAACTGAACTAGAAACTGAACTGAAGAACACTAGAACTGAACTAGAGCTGAACTGAAGAACTGAACTAGAAAAGAACTAGAAAAACTAGAACTGAACTAGAACTGAACTAGAACTGAACTAGAACTGAACTAGAGAACAGAACTAAGAAACTGAACTGAAATAGAAAGGAAAAAGAAAAGAACTAGAACAGAACTAGACTAGACTAGAACAGAACAGAACTGGAACATAACAAGAACTGAACTCGAACTGAACTAGAACTGAACTAGAACTGAACTAGAACTGAACTAGAACTGAACTAGAACTGAACTAGAACTGAACTAGAACTGAACTAGAACTGAACTAGAACTGAACTAGAACTGAACTAGAACTGAACTAGAACTGAACTAGAACTGAACTAGAACTGAACTAGAACTGAACTAGAACTGAACTAGAACTGAACTAGAACTGAACTAGAACTGAACTAGAACTGAACTAGAACTGAACTAGAACTGAACTAGAACTGAACTAGAACTGAACTAGAACTGAACTAGAACTGAACTAGAACTGAACTAGAACTGAACTAGAACTGAACTAGAACTGAACTAGAACTGAACTAGAACTGAACTAGAACTGAACTAGAACTGAACTAGAACTGAACTAGAACTGAACTAGAACTGAACTAGAACTGAACTAGAACTGAACTAGAACTGAACTAGAACTGAACTAGAACTGAACTAGAACTGAACTAGAACTGAACTAGAACTGAACTAGAACTGAACTAGAAGAACTAGAACTGAACTAGAACTGAACTAGAACTGAACGAACTGAACTAGAACTGAACTAGAGCTGAATTGGAACTGAACTAGAAATGAACTAGAAATGAACTAGAACTGAACTAGAACTGAACTAGAACTGAACTAGAACTGAACTAGAACTGAACTAGAACTTAACTAGAACTGAACTAGAACTGAACTAGAACTGAACTAGAACTGAACTAGAACTGAACTAGAACTGAACTAGAACTGAACTAGAACTGAACTAGAACTGAACTAGAACTTAACTAGAACTGAACCGCACTAGATCCGAACTAGAACTGAATTACAACTAAACTACTAAAACCAAATACAATTCTTGATAGAAAATCTCACCTTGAAATTGAAGCATAATTCCAGTGGGTAATGGCTCGCACAGCAATGCCACTATTGCCGCCCACATCACCTTCAAAACCAGGCAGAAGCGGCATTATCACATAAACTCGGAATGTTTTGCGTTCTCTGGAAAAAAAGGAAAAATATAAATGTTAATATTAAAAGGACCAGTTGTTCCTTCCAAAAAACTCACTTGTGAGCCCTCACTATCCGTTTAAACAGGGCCTCACCAATTTGATTGCGCACTTGACCCAGACTAGCCGCTGCACCCAACTGCATGGTAATGAAAAATTGATTCTCTATATAGATATAATGCTGAGCTTTAGTTATAGTCTGTATATAGGCATCATGTATGCTCTGTTCGACTAAATCCTGTTCGATGAAACCACAACTCCAGGAAGACACACTGCGCAGCAGTTGACACGAAACACGATGTGTGCGTTTTAACGTGATATTGGGATTTAGTTTTATCTGTTGATAACTCTTTGGTATTAAATAGGGAAACGAGAGATTTTCCCGGCTCTTTTCCAATTTCATGGCATTCCAACGTTGTATAAAATGTCGGGCCACATCGCGAGCTGCAGCTCCCACCACACATATGGCCACATCATGCCAAGGCATACGGGGTGTGGTAGTACGATCTATCATATCGACAAAGGGCGCATCCAGATTCATCCAATCTTTCATGATGAAGTTGGAATAGTCTTTGCCGAACCAGTACTTGGCCTGACCATAATAGTCGTCGAGTATTTGGGTTTGAAACGGAGTGGGATCCTCAAAGCCACCTTTGCGGCCCTCTTCAATTTCTGGTATACTAAATACCAGCTGTTTGGGATCTTTAATTATCTCGGGAGTTTTGTCACCCTCATTTACGGTTAAACGATTGACAAGATCTTTGCCCTTTTTCATGGCATTGTCCTTAAGATTTTTCAACATATTTTTACGTTCCATTTCTGGGGTATTTAGTTTAAGTCCTTCCAAATCGATATTATCGCCATTGTTGGTGTAAGGGGTAGGTATCATTAGTTTATCTCCGGGTATAAGCATCGGAAGTTCTAGGGTATTTTTGGAAGTGGTCTCCGTTTGTAGTCTCTCCAATTCCTGTTCACTTTTGTGCAATTCATTGTTAATATTGCGGGAAGATTTGCTGGAGCCAAAGGCGGAATCTACTTCTTCACGATTAAAGAAACCGCCGGGACGTCGTGTGCTGCCCGAGGCAGAAGAGGTGGTTATACTGCCCAGATCTGTCAAACGATGACGATAATCATCCCAGCGACCATAACACAAATCTACTCCTCCCAAAAAGGCATATGTTTGATCTACCACCACAATTTTCTCATGATGAGCCCAAAAGAAGACACCCACTTTGGCATGGTCGGGATGACGCATGACCTGTAGATCAAAATATTTTAAAACAATTTCGTTTTGCTCAGTAAATCAGAAAACTCACCTTAATATTTTCATGCAAATTAACTAGCCTCTGCTTGCTGTAGTAACTATTAATGCCCAAAGCCATTTCCACCTCCTTAAAGAGCAAAACAAACACTTTTACGCCCTCCTTAGCTTTTCTCAGCAATATCTTATCCAAACGCCAATAGTCACCATCTACCGCTGGTCTTTTCATATAGATTTCCGGACTCAACCACCAATCGGTTATATAAATTTCCTCAGTAGCAGCCTCTAAAGCATCGGCCACCGCCGACATATACGACGAACCATCCACAAACCATTGAGCCGTTATATCCGATCTCTCTGGTGCATAAGAATTATGTGGATTGGGCATGGTGAAATCTCGGGCAGTGGTGTTGGCAGTTTGTTTCAAATAATCATTCCATTCTTTACATTTTCTTCGTGTCCAACATTTTAATACAATATGTCGGTTGTTGGTCAATATCTGCAGACCCTTACGCATGCCGGTCTGATAGATACCCGTCGAGACATCGAAACCCATATCAAATAATATCACAGCACGTATAACACCGTCTGAAGGACGTATATAACCGAAACAAGTTTCCTTCACAAAAAACCATCGACTGCGCCACGAGCCGCATACAACATCGGAACAGAAGTAATTGCAACGCACACAGCATTTTTGTTGAAAGCAACCAAAGAAATTACAGCCCGCCTGGCCGGGTCGTGTCGAACCGGTACGTTTTAGTATTGCGCCTTCTTTTCCCTTTATGCCCAGGCCATCGACAAAGGAAACGTTGGAGACTTCGACAAAGTTGAGCTAAAAAAGCAAAGCGAAGTTCAGTTTTAGTTCAGTTCTAGTTCAGTTCTAGTTCAGTTCTAGTTCAGTTCTAGTTCAGTTCTAGTTCAGTTCTAGTTCAGTTCTAGTTCAGTTCTAGTTCAGTTCTAGTTCAGTTCTAGTTCAGTTCTAGTTCAGTTCTAGTTCAGTTCTAGTTCAGTTTAGTTCAGTTCTAGTTCAGTTCTAGTTCAGTTCTAGTTCAATTCTAGTTCAGTTCTAGTTCAGTTCTAGTTCAGTTCTAGTTCAGTTCTAGTTCAGTTCTAGTTCAGTTCTAGTTCAGTTCTAGTTCAGTTCTAGTTCAGTTCTAGTTCAGTTCTAGTTCAGTTCTAGTTCAGTTCTAGTTCAGTTCTAGTTCTAGTTCAGTTCTAGTTCAGTTCTAGTTCAGTTCTAGTTCAGTTCTAGTTCAGTTCAGTTCTAGTTCAGTTCTAGTTCAGTTCTAGTTCAGTTCTAGTTCAGTTCTAGTTCAGTTCTAGTTCAGTTCTAGTTAGTTCAGTTCTAGTTCAGTTCTAGTTCAGTTCTAGTTCAGTTCTAGTTCAGTTCTAGTTCAGTTCTAGTTCAGTTCTAGTTCAGTTCTAGTTCAGTTCTAGTTCAGTTCTAGTTCAATTCTAGTTCAGTTCTAGTTCAGTTCTAGTTCAATTCTAGTTCAGTTCTAGTTCAGTTCTAGTTCAGTTCTAGTTCAGTTCTAGTTCAGTTCTAGTTCAGTTCTAGTTCAGTTCTAGTTCAGTTCTAGTTCAGTTCTAGTTCAGTTCTAGTTCAGTTCTAGTTCAGTTCTAGTTCAGTTCTAGTTCAGTTCTAGTTCAGTTCTAGTTCAGTTCTAGTTCAGTTCTAGTTGAGTTCTAGTTCAGTTCTAGTTCAGTTCTAGTTCAGTTCTAGTTCAGTTCTAGTTCAGTTCTAGTTCAGTTCTAGTTCAGTTCTAGTTCAGTTCTGGTTCAGTTTAAGTTCTGTTCCATTTCTAGTTCTCTTCCAGATCAATTCTAATCCAGTCTTTCTACTCACCGTCTCATTATGATTTCGATACAAACTGATATTCAGCAAATTATATAAGTAATCCTCTAATTGCTGAATACGTTCCGGCATAGCTTCTACTGTCACCAGCGATTCTGGTCTCTGGGGAAATCGGGGTAATTTACGTTTTTTACGTTTCTTGCGCCTACTACCACGTTCCGCGGTATTCAAAGGATCCATATTAATGTTTTGCATTGTCTGCATATTTGACGGCCCTGCCGTGCGCGAAGATACAGAGTGACCATTTGATAAGGAAGTTTTAAAGCTAGCAGATTTTTGCAATTCTTTAATACGATTCTCATCGGCCATTTGTAGTGCAGCAGCATTTTTGATGGTGGCACGTTTCTCCTTGTGACTGCGTATGGGAAAGGGTATATTGAGCGAAGTGCGGAAAATGCTGAGCTGTTGATGCAGGGAACTGAAATGTTTATAGCGTCTTTTAATGGTCCAGGTAAAAGGACCATGGGTAAGTTCAATGGTGTATCTAAAAGCAATATAAATAAAAATATTAGGTGTTTTCCAGTTAGTGTAAAGAATTATACTTACAAATTCGGATTTAGCAAGTGAGTGGTAACACTTCTTTCCGTATCTATGAAACGCACTTGTATCTCTATGCCCGGCATAAAGACTTTGCGTTGAAATGAGGTAAATTTAATACTGGGCCCATATAAACGCGTAAAAGGTATCACTGTCAAACGCCTCAACTCCACATCATCCTCATCGAATTCATCATCATCTGTGCCTTCTTTACGTTCCACTAATACGGGTTTATCACCGCCTATCGATAGTATGGTTAACGAATCGGGTATTATCAAACCTTCATCGTATTCAGCTTCTATCATGGAAAACTGGAAATCTGGCAAACAACCGGAATGATCATGTTGCTCCACACTATTTATGCTATCCACAGTGCTATTGTGTTCAGAAGTTTCTCGGGTTTTGACAATTGATCGCTCGTCAGCACGCTGCAGTGTATTATTCTCCGCCATATTATTAGCACTTGCTGTTGTCGCATCAAATTGTCCATACATATAATTGTAGTTTAATTCATCGTACTGATATCCCTGATTTGTTATGCCTTCATTACGTTCATTGAAATCATAATCTATTGGAATAGAAAGAAAATGGCGAGTTTTTGAAATTGTAATGAAATATAATTTTACAAAGATCGAACATAAATCGATCGATTTCCGATCTAATCAATTGAAATAAACTACAATTCATTTTATGTATTTTCGAACGTAAAAGCGAATTCAGCTATAAAACTACTAGCTATACCCAGTGTGCTCTGCTACCCTAAAAACAGTATAAATAAAAACCGCACTTTACGATTTTTGAAGATTCTAGTTCTATTAGTTTCCCAGTTATACGTATTTTTATTTTAATCCATATGGTAGGTACCATAGCCCCTTTTGATAGTCCACAATAGGGGTATCTCCTACGTTCACATGAATGTGAAAATTCTTTGTGCAAAATTTTAGGATTCTAGATGCAAATATTCACATGTCAGAGTTGTTAGCGCAAAATTTAATAGTTTCTCAGATATACAATTTTTTGTATTTAATTCATATGAGAGGTTTTAAGAACCCCAAATGAATGTCCGCACATTTTACTTCCAAATGTTCACTTTTATGTTAATTTTAAGATTCTACCTCTAATAGTTTCCAGATAAACGAATTTTTTTATTTAATTCATATGGGAGGTACCACGGACCCTATTGCTAGTCCGCCAATTTTTCCTCCAAAATGTTCACATAGATGTTAAAGTGCCTCGTGCAAAATTTAAAGATTCCATAGTCTATAGTCTAGTCTATAGTCTAGTCTATAGTCTAGTCTATAGTCTAGTCTATAGTCTAGTCTATAGTCTAGTCTATAGTCTAGTCTATAGTCTAGTCTATAGTCTAGTCTATAGTCTAGTCTATAGTCTAGTCTATAATCTAGTCTATAGTCTAGTCTATAGTATAGTCTATAGTCTAGTCTATAGTCTAGTCTATAGTCTAGTCTATAGTCTAGTCTATAGTCTAGTCTATAGTCTAGTCTATAGTCTAGTCTATAGTCTAGTCTATAGTCTAGTCTATAGTCTAGTCTATAGTCTAGTCTATAGTCTAGTCTATAGTCTAGTCTATAGTTTGGTCTATAGTCTAGTCTATAGTTTGGTCTATAGTCTAGTCTATAGTTTGGTCTATAGTCTAGTCTATAGTATAGTCTATAGTTTAGTCTATAGTCTAGTGTTTTTTATAGTCTATAGTCTATAGTCTAGTCTATAGTCTATAGTATATTCTATAGACTAGTCTAGTCTATATTCTAGTCTATAGTTTAGTCTAAAGTCTAGTCTATAGTCTATCCTATCGTTTAGTCTATAGTCTAGTCTATCGTTTAGTATATAGTCTGATCTAGTGTCTAGTCTAGGCTATAATCTAGTATATAATCTAGTCTATAGTATAGTCTATGGTCTAGTCTATAGTCGAGTTTATCGTTTAGTCTATCGTTTAGTCTATAGACTAGTCTATAGTCCAGTTTATAGTCTAGTCTAGCCTATATTCTAGTCTATAGTCCAGTCTATAGTCTAGTCTATAGTCTAGTCTATAGTCCAGTCTATAGTCTAGTCTATAGTCTAGTCTATAGTCTAGTCTATAGTCTAGTCTATAGTCTAGTCTATAGTCTAGTCTATAGTCTAGTCTATAGCCTAGTCTATAGCCTAGTCTATAGTCTAGTCTATAGTCTAGTCTATAGTCTAGTCTATAGTCTAGTCTAGTCTAGTCTAGTCTAGTCTATAGTCTAGTCTATAGTCTAGTCTATAGTCTAGTCTATAGTCTAGTCTATAGCCTAGTCTATAGCCTAGTCTATAGTCTAGTCTATAGTCTAGTCTATAGTCTAGTCTATAGTCTAGTCTATAGTCTAGTCTATAGTCTAGTCTAGTCTAGTCTATAGTCTAGTCTATAGTCTAGTCTATAGTCTAGTCTATAGTCTAGTCTATAGTCTAGTCTATAGTCTAGTCTATAGTCTAGTCTATAGTCTAGTCTAGTCTATAGTCTGTCTATAGTCAGTCTATAGTTAGTCTATAGTCTAGTCTATGTCTAGTCTATAGTCTAGTATAGTCTAGTCTAGTCTAGTAGTCTAGTCTATAGTCTCGTTATAGTTAGTCTAGTCTTATAGTCTAGTCTATAGTCTAGTCTATAGTCATCGCATAGTCCTAGTCTATAGTCTAGTCTATAGTCTAGTCTATAGTCTAGTCTTAGTCTAGTCTATAGTCTAGTCTATAGTCTAGTCTATAGTCTAGTCTATAGTCTAGTCTATAGTCTAGTCTATAGTCTAGGTCTATAGTCTAGTCTATAGTCTAGTCTATAGTCTAGTCTATAGTCTAGTCTATAGTCTAGTCTATAGTCTAGTCTATAGTCTAGTCTATAGTCTATCTATAGGTCTAGTCTATAGTCTAGTATATAGTCTAGTCTATAGTCTAGTCTATAGTCTAGTCTATAGTCTAGTCTATAGTCTAGTCTATAGTCTAGTCTATAGTCTAGTCTATAGTCTAGTCTATAGTCTAGTCTATAGTCTAGTCTAATAGTCTAGTCTATAGTCTAGTCTATAGTCTAGTCTATAGTCTAGTCTATAGTCTAGTCTATAGTCTAGCTATAGTGTCTATAGTCTAGTCTATAGTCTAGTCTATAGTCTAGTCTATAGTCTAGTCTATAGTCTAGTCTAGTCTAGTCTATAGTCTAGTCTATAGTCTAGTCTATAGTCTAGTCTATAGTCTAGTCTATAGTCTAGTCTATAGTCTAGTCTATAGTCTAGTCTATAGTCTAGTCTATAGTCTAGTCTATAGTCTAGTCTACAGTCTATCTCTAGTCTAGTCTATCTAGTCTATAGTCTAGTCTACAGTCTAGTCTATAGTCTAGTCTATAGTCTAGTCTATAGTCTAGTCTACGTCTAGTCTACAGTCTAGTCTATAGTCTAGTCTATAGTCTAGTCTATAGTCTAGTCTATAGTCTAGTCTATAGTCTAGTCTATAGTCTAGTCTATAGTCTAGTCTATAGTCTAGTCTATAGTCTAGTCTATAGTCTAGTCTACAGTCTAGTCTATAGTCTAGTCTATAGTCTAGTCTATAGTCTAGTCTATAGTCTAGTCTATAGTCTAGTCTATAGTCTAGTCTATAGTCTAGTCTATAGTCTAGTCTATAGTCTAGTCTATAGTCTAGTCTATAGTCTAGTCTATAGTCTAGTCTATAGTCTAGTCTATAGTCTAGTCTATAGTCTAGTCTATAGTCTAGTCTATAGTCTAGTCTATAGTCTAGTCTATAGTCTAGTCTATCGTTTAGTGTGTAGTCTAGTCTAGTGTCTAGTCTATAATCTAGTCTATAGTATAGTCTATAGTCTAGTATATTGTCTAGTCTATAGTCTAGTCCATAGTCCTGTCTATAGTCTAGTCTATGGTCTAGTCTATAGTCTAGTCTATAGTCTAGTCTATAGTCTAGTCTTTAGTCTAGTCTATGGTCTAGTCGAAAGTCTAGTCTATAGTCTGGTATAGTCTAGTCTATCGTTTAGTCTATATACCAGTCTATAATCTAGTTTATAGTCTAGTCTAGTCTAAAGTCTAGTCTATAGTCTGGTCTATAGTCTAGTCTATCGTTTAGTCTATAGTATAGTCTATCGTTTAGTCTATAGACTAGTCTATAGTCTAGTTTATGGTCTAGTCTATATTCTAGTCTATAGTCCAGTCTATAGTCCAGTCTAGTATATAATCTACAGTCTAGTCTATAGTGTAGTTTATAACCTAGTCTATAGTCTAGCCTATAGTCTAGTCTATAAACTAGTCTATAGTTTAGTCTATAGGCTGTAGGCTAGTCTAGTCTATAAACTAGTCTATAGTTTAGTATATAGTTTAGTCTATAATATAGATTATAGTTTAGTCTATAGTCTAGCCTAGATTCTAGTTTATAGTCTAGTGTACTCTATAGTTTAGTGCATAGTTTGGTCTATAATCTATCCTATTTTCTAGTCTCTAGTCTAGTCTATTCTATATTCTAGTCTATGATCTAGGACTGAATTGTTCAGTCCTAGTTCAGTTACAGTTCAATTCTATTTTAATTTTAGTTCAGTTCTAGTTTAGTTCTATGACAATTCTAGTTCCAGTTTAGTTCTGATTTAATTCAGTTACAGTTCTAGTGCAGTTCTCTAACTTGTTTTAAAGTTATCATGTTTTAATAAAATAAAACAGAAAGTTATGACTCAAGTAATATAGATATATTAATTTTAAATATAAAGCATTATTATTTTTATAGTAATCGGACCGCAAATTAAAAAAAAAAAAAAAAACTTTTATTAAAAGTTTGTGCAGAAACATTTCAATATTATAGTACAAGTTTAACACTTTCTCAGTGATCAATTATCGGAAAATAATATGGAAAATTATTTCAATATTACTGATGTTACAAGTTTTTGGGCTCATAGTCAGGTGGGTTCAAGAAATTTATAAATTTTATTGTGTTTAAACCGATAAAAATACAACAAATGATTTCATCTAACAGGTTCAACTACATGAGGCCTTTATTAATCGTGATATTTTCAAATTTCGTAGCGCCTTAAAACAAGGAGCTAACCCTTTAGCAACAATACCTACTGAGCAAGATGTGTGTGTCTTGTTTAAGGCTTTGCAAACGTCTGGTTGTTCGTTATTTGTAGAGGCCTGCATGCGTTGCTCGCATAAACCAACAAATGTGAGTGAGGGGGGAGTGTTTTAAACAAGATTTTTGATACGATTTTTGCTTAATATATTTTTTAGCTAAACGATTTTTATAAAAAAGCTATACATTTTGCATGCGCTTCGGAAGATTGTGAACTTTTATTAACGCTTTATCGCTCAAGTGATGTTAAAATCAGACGTAAATATTTTACTTTATTTGCCCTTACCAGCTTGGCTTGGAATTGGGGCATTTCACAAAATGTACCCGATCAGGAGGAAATGACTCCTTTACATTATGTGGTGATAAATAATAATCTAAATGAAGACATACGACGTAAAATCGTTAAAATGTTTTTGTCTCAAAGTAACATCGATATTGATACCTTTCGGGGGGGTGAGTTAAGAAGAATATTAGAAAGGAAATATC